TGTAAATGAAGCTGTATTTTAAACTTTGACTTCCTTGGGTTCACTGTTAGTATATGTGACTGCTATTTGCATATTTTGCCAGATCTTTATTTTCTCTGTCTGATCTGTTTTTTTTTTCTAGCCTGTATTTTATCTTTTTCAGGTACTGGGATTGAACCCAGGGCTTTCACACTGAACCACACCTCCAGCCCTTTTTGTATTGGAGACATAATGTTTTAACCAAATATTTTTTAGTTTTCCATGTTAATTTCTTTCAGTAAATATAATACTCTGTGTGTGTGTGTGTGTGTGTGTGTGTTTTCTAGAGATTACAATGTTGTACCCTAAACCAATTTAATTAGTTTTTACTTGTTTCAGGTAATGTAAGAATTTTGCAAGAGTATGTTTACATTCCCCTCCTCCTTAGTGCTATTGTTGTCATGCACACTTATGTCTATATGCATCCTACGTTCAATAATTTAGTGTTAAAATCTTTTAATTAAGTTTATTGGTACTATATATTTATATATCACATTCATCATGGAGAATTTGTACCTTACATGATATAACTTGATTTTTTCCCTTTCCTTTACCTTTCCTTTCACCCCTCTTCTCCTTGTTTATAAAAGCTTGGTTCCCATTTTTCCCTTATTTTCTTGTTTTTCTCTTTTCATTCCCTCTTACCTCCCCCCTTCCCATTTGAACATTGTCTTCCTATTTCACAATATCTTTTATACATTTTGGCCCTTATTTATACCTTTGGTTTCTCATACCACAAAAACAATACAGCATTTACATATACACTGTTAAAAGATGTAAGCATATACTTTCAAAGAAAGTCATAATTAGCAGTGCATATGTGTGTATTTGATGTCTACCCATATTTCTTGCTCTTTTGTGTGATATGAGTTGCCATTCTGGTACAATTTTTCTTCATCTGAAAGGACTTAGAATATAATAATCACTGAATTTTCCATTTAAACCTGAAAATATTTTCCTTTCAGTTTGCAAGGTTGTGAGTTCAATCTCCAAGAAGACATTGCTCACATATTTAATGGATAAGATATAAAATTGCAATGATATTTCAGTTCAACTGGATAGGTTTTAAAGTGTACTATAATCTACTGTATTTTAAAATATCAGTGTTGAAAATATGCTCGAAATTCCATCTTTGTACTATTTAAACTTGTAAATAAAATACTTTAGATGTTAACATAAACAGGGATACATTTGAAATGATGTGGTGCTGCCTGCAAGTAATCCTTTTCTTTTGGAGGCTGAGGCAGGAGAATCATTCAAGGAAACTGTACCAAAATATTTTAAAGCCCATTGCTTTAAAAGGAAAATTTTAAATGCTTTTAAAGGAAAATTAAGCTTAATAAATGATATGACAAGAGGTACTATCATGAGCAAGAGTGCTAAAGAGAAGAAAATAGTGTAGACTCTTGACACATGCCGGCTGTTTGAACTTTTTAAATTATTGCTACCCATTCTCCCAGCTATAAAATGGTAAGAGCTTGGTTCAGTGGCACACATCTGTAATCCCAGCTACTCAAGATACTGAGGCAGGAGGATCTAGAGTTTAAGGCTGGTCTGGGAAATTTCACAATTTAACTACCTCAAAATTAAAAAAAAAAAAAATGGAAAGAGCTGGGGATGTAGCCCAGTGTGAAGGTTTTGGATTTAATCATCAGTGCTGGAAAAAAAGTGGGTAAGAATATTTGCCATAAGTCAAAAGAGACAACATTTGGGGCTGGGGGTCTAGCTCTGCAGTCTGACTGCTTGGCAAATGTGAGGTCATGAGTTCAATCCCCAGCACCAAAAAAACCCCCAAAAACCAAACATTTACAAGGGAAGTCACACAGTTCCTTGATCTTAGAAGTTACCTATTACATTTAAATACTCTAATTTACCTAGATTTGAAGTTCATAAACTTGTGTGGGGATATTCTTTACTAGCACTAATATTACAGTATAGATTCACTTAATGTTTCTTAATAAAGTAAAATTATGCTTTATTGTACTCTATGAAGGCCTATGACTTTTAGTGTGAAGAATATGAATGGTCAATTAAAATAACTAGGTCCAGAGATCATTCTTGGTTTCTTGATTTTCAATTTTATTTCATTCTCAAATTAGACAAGAACTCATTCTTTCAAGTAAGAAATAACAAAGGTACATAGTATGTGACAAAAATATTGTACAACATGATTCTTACCTGTAACCGATACTGAGAACTCGTGGAAGCAGTGGTTCACCATGAAGTATTAGATAATAACACAAACATGAGAAAATATGTTCTTTTAAGAAAAATTACAACCAAGTGATGAAAAATGAATCCATCCAAATAATTACATATAGGGAGCGGCACGACTGTCCCACTGCCCTCCCTGCCTCTCCCTCATATGGGCACATAGTGCACCTACCTTAACCATAATCCTCTCCTACTCACATCACATACACGGACGTGATGATGACCCATCAGAGATCACCCCGTAGCCTCTTCCTGTCCCACTGGCCTGCCCCTGCCCTATAAAAGCTGCGACCACTTCCTCAATAAACGAGACTTGATCAGACTTCCTCAACTTGTCTCCATCTCTCTGTCTCTTGCCCTGTCTGTGTTAATCCCTGTTCCTTCTCCAGGAAACTGCCCCATGGATCTGGATTGGCCCGCGGGCCGGGTCAATTACACAATAAACCAGATATAAGATTTATTATTATTAACATATCTTTATTAAATATGCACCATGTTTGTCACCTATAAGGAATAAAATTGTCAAGAAAAGTTTGTGAATGGAAAAATATACTTAGAAAAGTACATGAATTACTTTATTTTCCAGAAAATTTTCAAAGGATCATACTGGTTATTTTCCCATTATCTGTAAGCTTCAAGCATGCCTTTCTCTGTTCTGTGAAGTAGGAAATAGGACCCTAGTGCAGGCATTTCCCACACTCCTTGCCAGCTGGTTTCTGTTATAATTTGCCTTCATTTCCATTTAAGGGCAATCTAGAGGCAAAAGGCAGAAGACAGGAGTTGCCTATTTTCCAATTCTGTTAGTGTTTCTGCAGTAGCAGACTCGGCAGATTCCTTCTGCTCCCTCTGCAGCAAATCCCAAAAATGAGGCTGAGCCCCTACCTCAGAACTTCAGCTCTGGTTAATTCTTCTCTTCCTTTTGTTCTCCAAATTGTAAAGTGTAACCTGCTTCCTGAAGTTACAGATCTCCCCATTTTTGTTCTGTTAGCCCTAAAAACTATGTAATAAATTTCCTGTAATTGCCTGTGTGGTTCTACTTTGACTAGGTCCTGCGGAACACAGTGCTACCAGTATTCCTTTTAGCAGTGCAGTCACTTAAATTTGGGGGCATTTCTCACTCCACGGAAATGTCTGATACCAGAAATAAGGGACAAAAAGCCTTCTCATGATCAAATACTGACATACAAAGCGATAGCTGCACACACCAGTGTTTCTTAGTCAGGCATGGTGCCACACACCCATAATCCCAGTGCTCTGCCAGACTGAGGCAGGGGGATAGAAGATTTGAGAGCAGCTCAGGCAATTCAAGGATTGTAGAGCCTTCAAACAAAACCAGCTGACTTCTTTCCTTTGAAAACAAAAGCACCCAACAACAATCATTTCAGGCCTACTAGCCGGATTTCTACGTCTAAGACTCTGGTTTTAGTTATTAAAAGGCTCTCTGTGGCAGGTGGTTGGATTAGTATGTCCTTCAAAAATGGATTCTCAAGAAATTTCTCCTTGCTTCCTCCTTACTAGGATTTTGTAAAGGGCCTTCTCCTCAAGAGTTACACCCCCAGCCCCCAACCCCCCTTTTTAAAAAAAGATAGTTTCGCTAAACTGCTAAATTTCTCGGTGTGGGCTCGAATTTGCGATCCTCCTGCCTCACCTCCCAGAGTGGTGGGACTACAGGCGCGCCCCAAATATGGCGGGCAGGTTTCTGTGTCCTTATTGAAGAGAACAGGTGGAACCAACAGAAAGAGGCGCACCAGAGCAACAGGCTACCAACTTACTAACGGCTTTGGTGCTAATAAGCAATATCATAAAAACGGAACGTAATTACTGCTCTGTGACTGGAATTACCTTGGGGTGTGGCAGAGAAGAAATATTAAAATAACTCTGACCTCGCCAACGGTGAGAGATTAGTGTAGAAGAACAGACTGAAAGCCATCCAGACACACACGCTGACACAGAGGCTCTTCTCCCAGATTCAACCTTAAAAGCAAACCCAGAAACGAAAAAACATTTTGTCAGAACAACTGTGACTTCTGGGAAAAGAACAAGGACAAATGATGATGACCTCCACTCCCGGGAACAGCCAGTCCCCGCTACAATCTTACATTTTCGGCGTGCACATCCCAAAACCCCAAGAGCAAAGGGCGTGATTTAAAATTCAGAAGCTTAGCCAGGTGTGGTGGCGAACGCCTGTGATCCCAGAACTCTGGGAGGCTAAGGCAGAAGGAGCCCACCTGGACACCTTGGCAAAACCCTACCCAAAAGTAAAAACTGGCTATGGATGTAGCTCAGTAAGAATGTTCTGGGGTTCAGCCCTCAGTACCAAAATAAATAATCAGAAGTCAGGCTGAATTCACCATCCTCTTTTTGGTGCACAAGAACAAAGGGTGCAGAACCGAGGTATGCACAAAGCTGTGTAACTATCACACTCAAGCACTGAATCAGAGCCAGTAATTCGCAGAACTCTGCTCAACACAAAGTAAGCGCAGTTCACACAGACTGTAGTGTCACCCACCTGCCGCACGCACTAAGTGGAGGGTAACGAGGTGCTTTCTGGGAAATGTAGTTCGGCATGGACGAATGCTACGCGAAGCACTCTGGGGCTGGTAGTTTGTGGAGCTGGACGGAGACTGCTGAGTCTCCAGTTCAGATCGCTGAGCTCGGTCCTGCAAGCTTCAGTTCTCCCACGCTAAGGATTCTGGGCATTGACGTCGCAGGTCTAGATTTTGGGGCCGGTTTCCAGACCCCCCAGCACTGAGAGGTGAGTTAGGCCCGATCCCAGGCAATGGCGGGGGATCGGGCCCGCTGGGGATAGACTGGTGGGGACAGCTCTGGCATAGCCAGAGAGGCTGTATGTGTGAGAGTGTGTCACAATGTTACTGTGTATAAAGTATGTGATAGGCTCCACTTGTGTCAAAATGTTATCTTGTGTGTCACCATGTGTGTGCATGCATGTGTGGCTGTCTGTGAGAGGAAAAATGCAAGTAAATGTGTTCCTTAGGTGATTGTCCCTGCAGGTTTGTCCCTGAGATTACTGTGTACGGATCTGTGACATTGTGGGTTTGTGTAAGTATGACTTGTTTGACTATCTCTGCAGACACACATGTGTTGGAGTGTGTGTAACAACAGGTGATTGTATGGCTGTTGCCACCTGTTCCTGTTATTACACAAGTGTAATAATTGTGACAAAAAGTAAAACTGTGGGTGGTGTGTGATTACCTCTGGCTTTGTGCTAATAAGACTGTGTGTGAGATTATGAATGTGACTATATGACTGTGCATATTTTGTGATTGAGTGAGAATGTGTTTTTTTATGTGAGATCATGGGGTTGATTGTCTAGAATCTAGTTTGTGACTGTAAAGCACAGAAAGATTAATATTACTTGTCCCAAATCTCACAGTTATTAAGTAACAGAATCAGGCCCCAAACTCAAGCTATTTGGATATAGGGTTCTTCATTTTAATTAATAAATCGCTTTGATTTTTTTTTTATTTTTGTGAGAGAGAAAAATGGAAGCCCTGAGCTCTAAGAATATTGGAGAAGGTTGTTTCTAATCTTATACTGGGAACCTTTGGAACATGAGAGCTCGATCTGAGTCTCATCCTTCAGTCTGTGAGTTACAGTCTAAAGACATTGTAGTGTAAGCAGGCTCAACTTGGCTATTTCTAGAAGAAATTCCAACTTGAAAGCCCAGTCTTCCTCCCTTTAGGCCACTGATATCTTAGCTTTGTCCTTGTCACAAATATTCCACGCTTACTGCTGAGAGTCTAGGTGTGTGTCTCTTCTCTGAAGAACCAAGTAAGTTAAGTTTTTGATTTTTACATTCTCAGTAAAGAAAAATGTTCACTTCATTTCCAAACATGAATCCAAGTTGGAACAGGAGAGACACTTCTCTAGGTGATGTATAGGTTTATGCAGCCTTGACAGTGAGGAAAGGAAGGTTCTGAGAGATGGATTAACATTCCCATGGTCATGTAGATGAGGAAAGAAGTAAAGAGTCAACCTGACTCTAGCACTATGTAAAACCCACATCTAACATTACAACTTCTTTTAGGTACTAACAGTCTAGTTCAAATGTATAAATATATTTTTAACAGAGCTATTAGAACAAATAAACAAACCTACAAACTTTAATTTCTTTCATTCAGACGTTACTTAAGACTTCTCTTGCAAGCTGGGTATGGTGGTGCACAATTGTAGACCAAACTTTTTTTTTTTGTCCTTTTGAGACAGTGCCTTGCTATGCATTTCAGGCTGGCCTTAAACTCACTTTGTAGCCCAGGTTGGTCTCGAATTTGCAAGGATCCTCCTGCCTCAGCCTCCCAAGTGCTGGAATTACAGGAAACAGCACCACCACACTCAGCTAAGAGTTTTATCTTTAAAAAGAAAGAAAAACAGACAGACAGACTTCTGCTTCCAGCTGCCAAGAATACATTGATTCTCCTCTCAGGTTGCAGAGGCTTTTAATGGACAATTTGAAGCTACCTCGGACTAAGAAATAACTTTCCAAGACACTAAATTGGGTAATTCAGGCTAGCCCCGAATTAATGGGTCGTGAATCCTAAAATATAGATCAATGACAATTGTCCCCATTTTCAGAATGAAGAAATGTTGACTCTAAGAGTACAAGCAACTGATTTCAGGCTGCACAACTTTTTAGTTTAGTATGAAAATTTGACAGTGCTTCCCTCAGGCTACTGCTTTTCTATGCAACAACAGAAGTGTATTTACTGTCCCTTCTTTAAGGAGTAGATGACCTCAGTTTTGGTGAATATTTAGAACAGGTTTTGTTGAGTGTTGTTAAATAATTGATCAAGTTCATTGAGTGTTTTCCAGCCACATATTGTGACTTCTGGGAGGAAGAGCAATTTTTGAGCCACACTTTATTAGGACTTTTATGACTTTGAACTGGTTATTGAAACTTCTTGAACCTCAATTTTACTTACCAGTAAAATGAGGATAAGCATACTTTCCTTTGCATTTTTTGAGAATTGTATAAGATAACAACATGTACGACATGCACCATGCTGCTGGATATATTACAGGAGAGAGAGTAGATTTACTCATTTATCTGCTATTTTGTGAGCACGTTCAGTGGTTCTTGTGTTGTTCTAGTACTAGATTACACCAGCGAACCAAACTAGTACTAGTTTTCTTGGATCTTAAATCTTATGTGGAAAGATAAAGAATAAACACAATGTGTGTGACACTGTCAGTGGTAATAAATTCTAAGAAGAAAATTAACTCAGGATAAGGAAAAGGGGAGTAACTAGAAGGGACATCTCCATACATAAAATTTTCAGGGACCTCTCTGTGATATAGTGATGACTAAACACAGACAAGAATATATCCAGGGAGTGAGACATGGCGGTGTTTGGAAGGAGAGCCTTCTAGATAGAAGGAAAAGCAAGAGCTACAGCCGTGAAGGATGAGTGCACATAATAGAGAGAGAAATGAACAAAAGGGAAAAGGGTAGAAAAAGAGGTCGGAGTAGGCAAGCACCAGATCATAAACTGCCTCGTTGGCCCCAGGATAGACATAGATTTTCTTCCATTTGGAATTTGTTTCCTTAATATAAGTTCCAGGGTTAAGTTCCGCATTAACAGGATATGGAGATCATAAAGGGCAGTAGTTATATCTGTGAATCGCACACCAGCAACATAGAACTAGGATGTCACTGTTCCTTCTTTCACTCTCTTTTCAACATTTTTTGTTCTTCACCAAAAGAGAAACTGAAGAAAGAAAGAAGAATGGCTGTTGGACTTTGTAAAGATATGTCCCAGGTAAGCTGATGCTTTTATTTTGTTTTCAGACATTTCAGCTCCATTTTCAAGACTTTGGGACCAACAAAAAGAATGGGGACGGTGAGTCTAGACTTAGACTAATGTAACCAGTAGCCACATATGACTGCTCTGAATTGAGATATGCCATATAGTTGGAAAATGCATACTGCTTTTGTAGATTCAGTATAAAAATGAATGTAAGATATCTCATACCTAATTTTTATATTGATTACATATTGAAATGATAATATTTTAGATAAATTGAGTTAAAATAGCATTAAATTATTTTTACTTATTTCTTTTTTAATGTGACTATTAAAGAACTTAAAATTACATACATGGCTTACATATTTCTATCAAATGTCACTGTTGTAGACACTCTAGAAACATTTTGGTATTAAGAGCAGTAGAGGACTGGAACAATAGTAGAGTAAGAACCTGGAAGGCAATTTATTTATTCATGTATTTCATTATAAGATAGAAGAGAGTGCATTGGTTTTTATGCTGATTAGAAGGATCCAGTTGAGGGGACCTGGGATTTAGCTGAGGCATAAGCGCCTGTCTGGCAAACGTGAAGTCATGAGTTCAGTCCCCGGTACCAAAAAAAAAAAAAAAAAGAGGATCCAGTCTAGTGACAAAGGAAACAGTGGCCTAGTGTGAACAAGTGGAAGGATAGGTCTTAGATAGGAGTGTAGAGTTTTATCCTTAATAACAGAGAGAAGGCAGAATATGTGAATATAGGTATAGACAGTAGAATAAGGGTGGCAGGACGATAAGGAAGTTCAGAATGGAGAGTTGGTAGTGGTTTGAGAAACAGAAGGCAGGATGAAGTAGTTATATAGAGAGGAGAAGAATGAATTTTTTAGAGATGTGTTGTAGAGTTGCCTTTCAGTGCTTTTGAGGGATGTGTGATCATATGCTAGAAATCAACATGTGTATCAGGGTTCCAGCAAGAAACTCAAAGGGGATTCTTTCTTTCTTTCTTTCTTTTGTTCTTTCTTTCTTTCTCTCTTTCTTTTTAGAGGGGATTATTTCTGAGATACTATTGAGATCCATCAGGCTCCTGATTTTAGAGATGAGTTTATAAAAAAGAATTAAATAAAGACAATTAAAAATATGGTTTGTGGTGGGTCCAGTAAGGTCAAAACTGTCTTGGAGCTAAAACAAGGGCTTCTCTGGACCACTGTATTTATTTGGTTTCCACAAATTGGGAGCAGAGGGCAGGAAATGGAAGGTACAATGGAGAGTTTAAGCCTATGAAAATGAGCAGGGCCTTGCGAAGTTAGAACAAAGGGAGTCAATTTTGCTAATTAAGAGAGCTGTTTGATCTCTCAGGTTAGCAGTTTTATTGCCCTTGAACCCTCTGAGTGAGATTCAACAGCCTGCAGCAGCAGTATTATCTTGTCTTCAGAAACTGCAGTCAGCAGGTGGACTGCACAGCCCAGTCCACAAGATACTAACAGGGTATAGAAAAACTACAAAGAATAGTGCTATCCCTAGGGCTCAGAAGAGCATGGATCCTTACAAAGTGTAGGCCTCAGTTGAGACAGAGCTGTATAGAGAGGGCCCTAGCAGGCACTATAAGCTGTGACTGAAGGCCAGAGACCACCCAGGGTATTGCTTCAGGGATGAATCCAAGGGAAATAAATATATTGCTTTACTCGCCTCCCCCAGTTCTCTTGCATGTGGCTGAACCCAAATGAAAATTATTGTTTTATTTTAAAGATAGTAAAATACAACAAAACAAGACAGAACAAAGCCAATCAAGACAATGCTGTGAAATTGGTACAGAACTTCACAGCAGGATCAGTAATAGCTACCATAGTAATCTCTGTTATCTTCACAATAGTTGTCCATTCAATCAGTTATAGCAAAGTCAAACCAAAAACAGAACATTATAAAACCTATCAAAACAGAATATTGAATAGAGCAAAACAATTCATCAGAACAAAGCAAAACAGTGAAAACAATATTGGCCTTCAAAGACAAAATAGAAGGAAATCCCCCATATTTTCTATATTGCATACCGTCATCCTCCCAAGAGATGCTCAGACTGCTGACCCAGGTCAGCATAATCAACCCAACAACACAAGCATTTAGTTGCTTTATGTACCATAGTTGCTTTATGTACCATAGTTGCTTTCAACTCAGGCTGACCTCAAAACCATCTGGTTGCTAGTTGGGGAGTTGGGGTGGAGAATGGAATGTTTAATTCTTACCCTATGTGTTGATAGGCTCACGGAAGAGGCTGACATTATAAAACCTATCAAAACAGAATATTGAATAGAGCAAAACAATTCATCAGAACAAAGCAAAACAGTGAAAACAATATTGGCCTTCAAAGACAAAATATAAGGAAATCCCCCATATTTTCTATATTGCATACCGTCATCCTCCCAAGAGACGCTCAGACTGCTGACCCAGGTCAGCATAATCAACCCAACAACATAAGCTGTGTTGTTCTCTCGCTGTGGAGCTGTAGCTTGCTCTGCTTACCAGGAAGGCTGGCTCGTTGCTTTCTTGGTTGGTCCGCCAAGTCCCAGCATGGATGATTCCCAGGAGATGCTGACTTTTCTTATTTATTTATTTATTTTTGTCTTCTTGACACAGGGTCTCGTTCTTCAGTTCAGGCTGGCCTTGAGCTCACTTTGTAGCCTGGGCTGGTCTTGACAATTCCCCTGTCTCAGCCTCCCAACTGCTGGGATTTCAGGTGTGCGTCTGCACATCCAGCTTCTCATGCAGTTTGTAGTTCAATATTATAAAGTAGTACTATAATTCAGCACCATCTTTAGATATAATCAGTTTTTTGTGTAATCTTCCAAGGAAAATTTCATTGAAATATTTTCATGCTGTATTTCATTATTCCTCAGGATACATTTCTAGAAGTTTCTCCTTACATATAGAGTCTAAATTTCAGATTATACTTTTTTGATAAAGCTTGATTTAGTCCCTCTCTTTACTGCTCTATTCTACCCAGTATCCCGGTTTGGTAAATATAAAGAAATTCTCTTTTTATGATAATTTTTTTCTTTTTTTGTTTCTTCCTTTCTTCTTTTCCTTTCCTTCCCTTCTCCTCCCTTACCCTTTTTCTTTTTCATGCTGCTGGGAATTGAATCCAGGGCCTCATGCATATTAGGCAGGCATTCTACCACTGAGCTATATCCACAACCTAAGAATTTCTTTATAATTAGTATATATAACATATAATTTAGCCCTTGTTCATATATTTTTTCATGCTATTAACTGTGTGTGTAGCTTGGCTGGGAGAACATGGCGGACAGATAGCAGCAGCTACACAGGCTCTCTGCGAGACCCAGCTTAGAATTCAGGAATGGGGTGGAGTGAGGAATCCTAACCAAGAACGAACTGGGCTGAGAGATACCAACTGGGAATGCAATCCTGGTGCTATAACAGGAACAGATAAAGCCTGAGCGTGGAAGCTGGAGCCCGTGCCATTGGAAGCCATGATTTGGGTTTCCTGCTGCCGCTGCTGCATCTGAATCAGCTCGGCAGGGAGAGAGATGGGCGAAAGCTCTGAGAACAGGAATCGGTGAACGGAGTTAAGTGCTGGGCGGGTGGGAAGCCATGCATTGACCTCCAGTGAGTGAAGAAAACTGGGACTCTCCCATGGTCTAGGAGGTGCCAACAGAGGACATTCTGGGATTGGGCAGACTTGCTGGAACAGGGCGCTGTAGTGACTTCAGTCACATATCCCCCTCTCAAGCGGGATTAGTGAGCAGTGCCTAGCCTACGTGATGCTGCTGGCTGAGACCCAGTAGGCTAGCACAACCCAGGTTCCAGTGCCTGAAGGTGCAACCTAGAGGTGAAGCCTTTTGGTAGGTTGACCTGGAAGGGCGGGCTCTGCATAGGCTGCCCGGTCCGTAACTCCCAGGTGCACTGCAGTGGGCGGGAACACCTAGCCGGTGCAATTCAATCAGACTGTGGCCGACAGGGAAGGAAGCTGGGCCTCCTATATACGCTTGCATATATAAGGAACAAAGAATATGGGAAGAGGGAGCAACAAGAAAGGCTCCTCAGCCCCCAATCCTGAGAAACAGGCAATAGCAGACAGGCCAACAATAGATATAAAAGGCTATCTCCAGAGCCTCATAGATGAGTTCAGGAATGAAGTTATTAATGACCTGAAGCAAGACACAAGCAGAATAGTCAGAGAAATGCTAAGCACCACCCAAGAAAAAGCTGATGGTGGAATGGAAGAACAGAAAAAGAGGGGAGAATTATTTGATGGAGAAAATAGAGAACACATAGAATACGTGAAGCAGCTTCAAAGAGATTACCAGGAAACTAAAAACTCTATCGAAAAGTGGCATAACAGCTTGAAAGAAACTAAGGACAGATTATCTGAACTGGAGGGCAGATTTGTAATATGGGAGAATGAAATGAAAAGCTTCTTAAAAATAACAAAAAAACCCCAGCAACAATACAAAAACTAGAAGATGATAAGAGGATCTATAACTTAAGAATTAAGAACATAATTGAAGAAGTGAGGATACAAACAAATGGACTACAAAATCTATTCACAGAAATAATCCAAGAGAATTTCCCTAATTTAGCAAACGGTAAAGATACTCAGATATACGAGGCATATAGGACTCCAGCTACCTACAACCCAAATAGAGCTACACCCAGGCATATAATAATCAAAATTCCAGAAATCCAATATAAGAACAAAATATTAAAAGCCGTCAGAGACAAGAAACAAATCACTTACAAGGGAACACCCATCAGAATTACAGCAGACTTCTCAGCACAAACCATCAAATCACCAAGAGCATGGGGGTAAATAATTCAAGCTTTGAAAGATAATAACCTCCAGCCAAGATTGAGATATCCTGCACAACTATCCCTGGAAATTGATGGAAAAACAAGGTGCTTTCAGGATAAAGAGGAACTAGGGGAATATGCAACCACCAATTCAACTTTACAGAGAATACTGCAGGATATTCTAAAAAAGAAAAATATGGAGAATCCAGAAATAGTGGCAGAGAGGCCACAATGAATGGAGCAGAAAACAAAATGAAGAAGACAAACTGACAACTAATGACAGAGAAAGAGCTCAAGAGAAATGAGGCAGAGAAGATTGGATGATACGAACAGCTATCTTGGAGAAAACGATGTCATAATAGGTAGTGCTGATTTGGTATCATCTTATTTTGAAGTCCCATCAAGCTTTTGTCCTTCTGTCTCCATAGGTCTTAACATGTTGTATTTTATTGGATTTTATTATATGTGATAGTATAAACAAAAACTTTTATAGACAAGGAGATTATACAGAAACCATAGTTCATTATCTATTAGTTAATTCTAAATACCCTATAATACTGTCATTCTCTTAAATGGTTTTACATTGTTTTGATATATTTGATGCTACAGTATACGAAGTTATACTGAAATAGCTCGAGGAAAGAGACAATATGGTAACTACTTTTATGTCGGGATTATCTTGTGTTGAAACACTAATTTGCTTAAATGGTTATGTTTTGATCTGCACTGTTTAGTTGTTATGCCCTCTTTTATCTCAATCTCCATTTAGTTATTTATGTTTTTATTTTTATCCTTTTAATTAAAGGAAAAATAAATTTTAAAAAAGCAGGATATATTATAGTAACCCACTTTGATATTCTATTAACTTGATTTAAAGCCCTGTATTGCTCTCACCATCTTGTTTTGACTGATGTTCCTCTATTCTGCTTTGCTTGATAGTACCAGGTTCGAAAGTTTAGGCAACAGCTGTGAAGATAGTGGGATTCATTATGACGCCCATACTGGTTGACTATTATCTACTTTTGAAGACCTGTAATGTCGCCAAGGTTTTGGTTTTGTTGGTTTTGTTCTTTACAGTTTTGTTCAATTTTATTATAACTGATGATATAGGCAGTTTTTTTCAATTTTATTATAACTGATGATATAGGCAATTCTATTTGAGATAGTGGGAGGCATTATGGTAACCATTGTTGATCACCTTGTATTATGTTTTTACATTATCTATTATGTCCACCCTTTTGATTTAACTGACTCTGTTCTGTTCAGTCACATATGGTTTTACTCTCTTCCAAAAAAAGTAATAAGAACTGTGGGAGCAATAAAACCCAAAATGTATAATAGTCATTGTACAATAGAGAGGGAAAAAGTGCTCTAAATGGTATAACTGCATGTATATTTAAGTGTATAAGATAGACAATGATATTACTGAGTTTTGCTGGATCATTAAACAGAACTGTTTGCAGCCTCATTATTTGAATGTCCACTTTATATGCTTTAATCTTGTAACTTGAACAAATATTTCGAAGATGACAATATGTAATCCATTAACTAGTGATTTCCTACAGTTTATTTTTTTTCTAAAATTCTGTATAACTTGTACCCTTTTTCTGCTTTTTTTCTTTTCTCCTTTAATAAAAAAACTGTGTGTATATATATGTCTTTCACAAAAATATAAAGTTTTTGAGAGATAGCTCTATTTCTAATATTTTTCCTCAAAATATATTACAAATCTGCACATATAATAGCTTTCTGATAATTATTTTCCTTGGATTATTGAGAGCTTTGAACTTTCAGATTTTAGCTTTTTGTTTTGTTTTGTTTTGTTTTTGTGGAGACCATGTGGGAGCCTGAGCATCTGATAAGCAAGAATTTTTTTTCATATTTCAGGGGTTGGTGACTTTTAGAGATGTGGCTCTAGACTTTTCCCAAGAGGAGTGGGAATGGCTTGCTCCGTCTCAGAAGGATTTATACAGAGAAGTCATGTTGGAGAACTACAGGAACTTGGTATGGCTTGGTAAGGATATTTCTCCCCCGTTCAGAATTTTCCTTTTGGGTCATTTTTGCTTCCTCCACTGGAGGGAATGTCTAGAGCATCCCACAAGTGATTCATTGAATTTCTATCTTCTGTTTCCAGGAATGATTTGAAGTAGTTCATATAGTTGGAAATTAGTAGTTCTTTAGCTTGACATGGTGGCACATGCCTATAATCCCAGCATTTGGGAGGCTGAGGCAGGAGAATTGTTTGCAAGTTCGAGACAGCCTGGGCTAAAAAGTGAGCCCAAGGCCAGCTAACCCTAACTGCATAGCGAGACCCTGTCACAAAAAGACAAAAAAGAAAGTGATAGTTTAGAACAGCAATATTGACATGATCTGGGGATTTGTTAAGTATAAATTATGGAGCTCCTGTCTAGATGTACAAATTAGAACTCAGGGAATGGGCCCAGTAGTCTGGGTTTTAATAAGCCCTTATTGAAGTTTTAGAGCTGCTGTAATTTCCAATTCAGCAGGTCTTGATAATTTGCATTTCAACTTAACGCCAAGGTGATACTGCAATTGCTCTAGCACTGCAAGAACCACCACAGTGGAAGAAGATTTGTCTTCCTTATCCTCCAAACAAGCATCATTCCCTTCTCTGACCCTTCCTTGACTATCCTTCTTTGCCTGATGCTCAAGAGATTGGATGTGGGACCTCAACATCTATAGCATATTAATTTCTCTGTCTGTTTCTTGCTTTCATTTTTCGTCCTCTGTAAATAGGACTCTCCATTTCTAAACCCAACATGATCTCCTTATTGGAGCAAGGGAAGGAGCCCTGGATGGTGCAAAGAGAGCTGTCACGTGGTCACTGTACAGGTGAGTGACAGATAGCTGGGCAGAGGGCCACCCTGAGGAGCCCACCCAGGTAGCGCAGAGGAGGCTGCTTTGAGCTTTACTCAGGTGGTGCTTGACATCTCTTTAGCTCGCACTTTCCCAGAAACCTTGCTTTCACCTTGGGTCCCCTTCCCATTTCATCAAATTACATTTCTGACAAATTATAGTCTCTTATCTTCCACTTATGACTTGGAGTCTCAATTCTTCCAAGTTTTTTCCCACTATGATTGGAATTATGTATCGCTCTAGATTTCTTTTAGAGCTTTTATTTTTATTAGAATTATTACCAAGTTTATGTGTGCACATTGCTTAAGTTAGTGGTTTCACAAGTCCTTTTTCCCTAAATGAGGAATTATCTTGCTGTTTTCCAATCGTTTCTCTAGTAGTATCTGTTTTCTTTTGTAACTTCTTTGAGTATTTCCTCACATCTCTAAAAATATGTTTAATATTGTTATTTTTTATTTTTTTTCAAGCTTAGTGCTTATCCTGTATTTTCATACTATGAAAAACAAGCACCTTAACACTTTCTTGCCCTGAACCCCACACATGTACACACAGAGACACGTACACTTCCCTTCCTTCTATTATTCAATATCAGAATTTTGAGTGAATTACCATTCAGTGTTTATATGATCATGGCTATTTATTGTTAGTTTTAGCCATGCTGCTCATATATCAAGATTACTTTTTTTTATAGTACTGGGGTATGAAGTCATAACCTCTGCACTGAACTATATCTCTAGCCCTTTAAAATTTTTTTTAAATTTTGAGACAGTGTCTTGCTTATTTGCAGCATTTGCCCAGGCTGAGCTCAAACTTGGAGTCCTCCTGTCTTAACCCAGGGTGTTGGGATTACAGGTGCACTGCTACATCCGGCTTTATGACTTTTATTTTCCCCAGAATTAATAATAATCTTGAGGTTTTGTTTATTTGAGTTGGTTGCTTAGTCAGTTCAGATGTAAAAACCCTTATGAAACTCTAACTGAAACTGACCTGAGATACATTAGCATGATATAAAAAAATACATGTATGCAGTATATTCCCTTTTCTTTTGGTGCAGTTGTATATACATTTATTTCTGGAAGTTTAAGATATTTTCATAACATATTTTAGGATATTTTTAGTGTTCCTGCAAACCATACGCCCTTCTCTCTTCTAGTTATTTATTTGCCTGTCATAATCTGCACTCATTGCCTTTGCTTCAAATTGTCTTCCACTGTTTTTACCATTTGCAACCTGACTTCTGCCCTTCTAGTCTGATTAATTTAGGGGCTTTTCTTAATTTTCATATTCCCTAGTTTACAGAAATGTATACGATAATTCTGACCACTATCTGTTTTCTTTTTTCAAAACTCCTTTCTGATTTTGTTGTCCCCATAACTGACTCCTGTTCCTGCTTTTCTAACTTTAAGCATAAGATCTTTGTCACATTAACTTTAATCTTTGTCTAGTATTGTCTAACAGAATTTTGTGTGATGATGGAAATATTTGTGCTTCTTAGCATGAAAGCCACCAGCCACATTTAGCTTTGGTACTTGAAATAGGGTGTGATTGAGGAACTAAAATTTTATTTTAATGAATTTAAACTTAAATTGCCATAGATAGTAGCTACTGCACTGGATAGCATAGCTCTGTATGTACAGTCTTTTAAAGGAAGTGATCCAATCTGTAAGTTTGTGTCATTGATCAAACTCTTCACTGGAACATAATTTGGGCATTTTAATAGTAAATCTCCTTCTTTAGATTTCCCTTTATATCCCAGATTTTTTCCTCCAGACTTCTTTCTAGATTCTCCTGGTTTTAATGCCACTAATACAATGATGGTTTACTTCATCAGTTGAGTTATTCCACAATATCTGCAGGGTTTTTGATCCAGGTCTCCTGCTGATATCAAAATCCACAGAAGCTTAAGTTTCTTTTATAAAAGCTCTATCTTATCTCTATATTACTGTTCATGCCTAATGCTATGTAAATATTACGTAAATATTTGTTAGACTGTTTTGTTTACGGGGAAATGACAGGAAATAAGTGGTTGCAAATTCAGTACAAATGCTGTTCCCCTCACACAATATTTTCTTTCCTTACTTGATTGAATTAGTAGATTGAAGCCACTAGATACAGAGGGATGCTTGTATATTCACCCATTGCTCCATAGCCCAGCAGTACGGCATGTGGGAATGTGCACAGTCTAGTTAGACCTTCTCTTTTTCCAACATCATAAAGCAGCCTACATACTCTATAGTTCTGGTTGGATTACACAGTTGGTCATAGCTTGCTGTCTAACTTCCATCCAGTTGTAGACAGTAACCAGCTGGAAATTACATGTCTCTGGTATCAGATACATTGTCTGGATCCTTTGTAACCTCAAACTACCTTTACCTTTCTTGTTTTTTTTTTTTTTTTTTTTTTTGGTCTTATCACTTGACATTTAACCAGTTGCATAATCTATGTTCAGGCATGAATGTAATAATATCTAAGCATACTAGTAACATAGGTGCAAAAATCACTTAATGAATATAGATTTGGTTTATGATAAATATTATTGAGTATCTATAATAAGCCAAATGCTGCTATGTTACAAATATATTCTCTTATTTTCATATTATACTTGTAAGGTAATCTAATTTTGCCAAACAGAAAACTGAGGCTCAAGAGATAGGTTATTCAGTTTGTTAAAAGTATAATAATTGGCTGCCTAGATGCAGAATTACAGTTTAAATGGCAAAACCTATGTTGTGAGCCACGTGCATATCCATTTGGCTCTCGTCTACTTTGCTTGACTCCATAATTTTCCTTTTCTCCTTGGTTACCAGTGTAAGTGAATTTTTTCCTTTTTGCCTAACGTCATTATGATACAATTAACTATCAAGTATTTTCTCTACTCCCATAGTAAGTATGTCTTCCACCTCACAATAAATTTTCCTGGCTCTGTATTTTTTCTGGGATACATCTCCATGTTAAACTTATCTATAATATTGATTTGCTTTTTTTTTCTTTTTAGTGAAAGTGGTGGAACTTCAGGAATCTTAGAATCCCCCAGGTGGGAAGATAGCTATAAGGTCTCCCACTGGAGTTCTTTTATTTGGCATTATATTGGAGATTGTATAAACCTGCCATTTGCCTAGAATAGAGAAGTGTTTTTAATTGGTAAGAGGGAATGTAGTGGCCCTGGGTGATAGATTCAAGGAGTTCTGGGAGAGCGGGTGAAAGAACTAACAATAGTCACATGTGGTGAGTATGTGCCTGTAATCCCAGCACTTGGGAGACTGAGGTAAGAGGATCACTAGGTGTTTGAGGTCAGCCTCCGTAGTGAGTTCAAGCTCTAGGCTATGTATCAAAACCTTGTCAAAACATAACAAAAAATTTTTAAAAATTAAAAAGAACTAATAGTGTGGAACAAAGGGAAGATAAGTGAACAAAGCCCATATAGCACTGGGCTCAGGTAATAGAATCCAAGGCTGTACATGGGAGGAACTGACAAGAACAGGAATTTCCTTAGGTGAAATATGTATTTGAAAGAACAATACAGATACATAATCTATTCATTGCTTTTCAGCTTTGTGCTGACTCAGTATGCATCACAAAATGTCCAAGTGACTGATCAAAAATGAATGTACAGTGAAAGCTTAAAGAAAAGAGACAAGGAATATGGTTTTGGGGTCCAGGAAGGTCAGAACACTCTTGGAGCTAAGACAAAGACTTCTCTGGCCTGCCAGTATTTATTGAATCCTTAACAGTTTGGGAGAGGAGGGCAAATGAGCAGGCCTTGAGAAGTTAGAGCAAAGACATTCTGAGCAATAAATCTTGCAAAATAATAAAACTTTTATGTCTAAGGTTGGTAGTTTATTGCTCTTGGATTCTGAGTGAGATTCAGCTCCTGCAACTGCAGTTTATCTTGTCTTTAGAGACTATGAATATGAGCTTTCCCTCATAGTCATATTCATAGAGACTATGAATATGAGCTCTTCCCTCAGGTAGAGAGGACTGTAGTCAGCACTTAACCCTTACACAGCCCCAACCACCACCAAGTGTGGAGGAAGTCTTCTGTTACAACAGATGGCAATTGTTAGGGGAAAAAAACCTGCATGTAACTAAGTAGGAAGTGCTGAAGTGTGCAATTCTAAAATAATGCTTTACATCTAGACTTGAAAATGGTTCTGTTGTTGAAATAATCACTGTATTTTGGAAGCCTGATCATAGCTTTTAAAAGCCAAGATTATGTTCCCTAGAAATTATCCCATAGATAAACTAGTAAGTTTTGATCTTTTTTATTAAGATTTATACTAATAGCAATCTTTATTATATTGTCTTTGATTATGTACTATATTGAATAATTGTACATATTCTACAGACTTTATCTCACTAGTTCTTCGAGTTTAAAAAGGGAGAAGGACATTGTATCAGACTGATATTTACCTCTGTTAGGTGCTGAGCCTATGGTAATTGTTTATTGTATTTTAATATATTGTCTTATTATTGTGAGGTGGCACAAAAAGAGCTGTTTCATTTTTGAGTTAAATTTTTTTTCTTTCACCTTGCCCCAACCAACGTCTGTGACTGAAAGTATCAAGTGACTGCTCTGTGGGCATTGTTTATCTTTCACTGATGAGAAATGCTGACCTTCAAATTTCTTCTAAACATTGAGAAAAAATCCTAAATTTTTCCTGAACCCTAATAAAAATTGCTAAGTGGTATTAGTGGAAAAATTACTCTATTAGCCTGACAGTATTCATTCATTCACAGAAAAACTGTCATTACTCTAGATACTTGATACACCAGTAAGAAGAAAAACAGTAGATGCCAACCCCTGCCCTCATAAAGCTTTGACTTGTATGAATACCAGTGCAAGATGGTCTAGAGTCTTTAAAGACTAAAGTCAGGGAAACTAATTATGGCTTAATTAGTCATTCTTATTTAGTTGCCACATTGGAATTTAACTTTGTATGCCTCTTGTGTCCTATAATTTAACTGTTTTACCTGTCACTCCTTGCCCATCACCAGTGCTCACATACCTTTATTCATTAGCTATCTTCATTCTTTGGATTCTGTTCATATTGCACAGCCATATTTGGGAAACGTTAGAATCGTGTACTTTCTCCCCTCCTTTACTCCAGTTAAATTCTTCAGTTGCTTCCATAACAGTTTTTTTTCTTCCTAATAAAAGAATAAAGGAGATATTTCTTGATATTTTTCAGACTGGGGGTCTTGGTGTGAAATGAAAGAGTTGTCCTCAGAATGGTTCACTGATGAAGAAGAAATACCCCCAGGGATGGTAATGAGAAGAATCAGAAGTCGTAGCCTTCAGTGCTCCAACTTCACAGAATCCTGGAAACATAAGGATGAATTTTTATGGCATCAGGGAAATCAGGAAAGACACTTCAGGCAAGTGACAACTCTTAAGGACATCTCTGCCAGGAAGAGATATAACAAATACAATAATTCTAGGAGAAGCAATTCCCTGGAGTCAGTCCTTTTAACACAACAGAGAGCTTCCATAATAATGCAAGTACATAAATTTGATATTTATGATAAAATCTTCTCTCAGAATTCAGTCATAATTGGATATGAAAGATTCCATCCTAAGAAGGAGTCTCTGATACATACAGAATGTGAAGAACTCAATCAGAGTACACAATTTATTAAAGATATAATAATTCCTTCCGGTGAGAAACCTTTTGAAAGTAATGATTTTTCAGATCTCTTGAATTTCCACTCATTACTTACTCAACATCCAACCAGTAATTTTAGAAAATTACCCCATGACTATGATGAATTTGGTGATGCCTTTAACTGTTACTCATTCTTTACTCAACCTCAGAGAATTCACAGTGGAGACAAACTATATGCGTGCAGTGACTGTGGAAAAGCCTTTAGCCATGACTTATTTCTCAGTGAACATCAAAGAACTCATAATGGAGGGAAAATGTATGAGTGTAAGGAATGTAACAAAGCCTTCAGACAGAGTGCACACCTTGCTCAACATCAGAGAATTCACACTGGAGAGAAGCCCTTTGCATGCAGTGAATGTGGAAAGGCCTTTAGCCGTTATGCTTTCCTTATTGAACATCAGAGAATTCACACAGGGGAAAAACCATATGAATGTAAGGAATGTAACAAAGCTTTCAGGCAGAGTGCACACCTTAATCAACACCAGAGGATTCATACCGGGGAGAAACCCTATGAATGTAATCAATGTGGAAAGGCCTTCAGCAGACGAATAGCCCTTACTCTGCACCAGAGAATTCACACGGGAGAAAAACCCTTCAAGTGTAATGAATGTGGGAAGACCTTTGGCTATCGCTCACACCTTAATCAGCATCAGAGAATACATACAGGAGAAAAGCCCTATGAATGCATGAAATGTGGGAAGTTTTTTAGGACTGACTCACAACTTAATCGACACCATAGAATTCATACTGGGGAAAGACCATTTGAATGTAGTAAATGTGGGAAAACCTTTAGTGATGCTTTAGTTCTAATTCACCATAAGAGAAGTCATGCAGGAGAGAAACCCTATGAATGTAACAAATGTGGGAAGGCCTTCAGTTGTGGCTCATACCTTAGCCAGCATCAGAGAATTCATACAGGAGAGAAACCTTATGAATGTAATGAATGTGGGAAAGCTTTCCATCAGATCTTGTCCCTTAGGCTGCATCAAAGAATTCATGTGGGAGAGAAACCCTATAAATGTAATGAGTGTGGGAATAATTTTATCTGTGCCTCAGCTCTTAGACGACATCAGAGAATTCATAACAGAGAAACCCTCTGATTATAGGAAAGAAAACATTTGGTCACTGTTTAGTCCTTATGAGTACCGGTGAATTCTGTTTGGTTGATACTTCTATGAATGTAATACATGAAGAAAAGTCTTCAACCAATGGCCATCCATTTTTTGGAATGACCTGAATAGTAGAGAACTGTTAATTTTTGGTCTATTCTTTATCCGCCTTAACCACCCTCAATGCATATGATTCTATGAAATGGAATCAGCAGTGGATTGGTCACAGCCATTATTTTCCCTCAAACTAGTGGTTAGTAAGAGATTAGCGGGTAGGCACAGTGGTGGATGCCTATAATGTCAGCACTCTGGGAGACTGAGGCCGGAGGATCGCAAGTTTCAGCCCACCCTCTGCAACTTACCAACTTAGCAAGACCATATTTCAAAGTAACAGGAGAGGAGTGGCTGAGGATGTAGTTTACTGCACCGCTGAGTTGTTGGTTTTTTTTTCCCCCACCATTTCCAGTTTCTGTTCTGCTCTACAGACATGCATCCAGATTCCCATACATCCTTCAATGGATGCATCGCTTATCAAACAGGTCATACATACATTGTTAGTTTGGATTTTACCCTAATTCTATGAAAGAATTTTGCTCAGAAATGATTTTTCAGGTTAACTGTGTCCCTCTGTGCAACGGTCTAATATTATTCATCAACTCTTAACATTCGTGTGATTTACAGCATTTACTATATTTATTCCTGTCTCAATGGCTATAATTTATGGCTGCCACAGAAAACATTCTAGGAAGTATTCATTTGTGAGCCTGAAGTATATTAGAATATTTGTCTAGGAATTACAGTTGCAATCCTGCATTCAAAAGCTAAAGAGTCTGGAAGTTGATGTCTACAGGTAATAGCATCACAAAGCAAGGCTCACTCAAGGACAGTCCAGGAGGGCTGTGCTCCAGCTTCCGCCTTCTGCTTGATCAGTTCCATGTGGGTGCAGAGCCAATTGCATGATGCCACTGTATGCAGGACGAGTATTTCCTACTCAGTTTGCTGACCCACACACTGGTCTTCTCCAGAAATACTCTCACAGACACCCGGAAATATGCTTTACCAATTTAGGCATCCCTCAATCCAGAAAACTTGATAACCAAAATTAACCATCATGCTAATGTATCAACACTGAGTCTTTTGAGGTTTCTGAATTTCGATTCATGTTTAAAAACCTCTTCATATCCTGACCACTTAGTTTATTTTTGTTCTGCTACTTAAGACTAGGTATTTATTTTCTCACAAGTCCTGGAGTTTGGGAAGCCTTATGATTAAGATACTAGCATCTGGCGAGAGCCTTCTTGCTATAGACCCACATGGCAGAAAGTCATGAAAGAGTGCTCCTTTCAACATTGAGTTATTTTATAAAGGCTCAAAACACATCTGTGAAGGTCCATGAGATCCTTTCGAGGCCTCCACTCTTTTTTGGAGTACTGCGGTTTGAACCCAGGTTCTTTACATTGAGCTGCATTCCCAACCCACCCGTTTTTAAAGTTTTTGAAACAGATTTTTGCTGAATTGGTAAGTGGATCAGACTGGGCTCAAACGTGTAACTCTCCTGCCTCAGCTTCCCAGAGTGCTGAGATTTCAGGTGTGTGCCACCACTGCCTGCTCCCACTTCTTAATACTATCACTTTGGGGGTTAGGTTTTAACCAGAGTTTTAGAGCACACACAAACATTCATATTATTCTGCCCTGGTCTCCGTTTTGAACATGCGTATCTCCTTCAGAAGCATATGTGTTCAAGGCATGGTCCCTCTGGTGTAGGTACTGGGAGATAAAGTAGAATTTCAAGAGGCAAGGCCTAGTTGGTTATCCGTAGGTCCCTGGGGGGGCATGCCTTGAAGGGACTGTGAACCCCTAAGGGTCTTCATGGTTTTTTATTTTGATATATGATTTCTTCTCCCACATACTCTCATTGATGTGACAACATCAACCAAAAGGGCTTCACCAGAGCACAGCTGATGGTCCATCATGCCCTTGGACCTCCACAGTTTCAAGCTAAATAAACCATTTTTTAAAATAAAGTTGGCCTGCCTGAGGTATTTCATTATAGTAATAAAGAACTTTCTAATACCTACCAAATTGATCTCCTCTCATACACAAAATACATTCATTCTACCACAGTTCCCTCAAAAGTCTTAACCCATTCAACATCAACTTAAAAGACTGGAAGTCCAGGTCTCATCCAAAATATATGAGACTTAAGGCATCTTGAGGCAAAGATTCCTTTAGGTGTGAGTCTATGAAATGAAACAAGTTACATGCTTCTAAAATCCAATGGAAGGATAGGAATAGAATAAATATTTTCAAAAGGGGATATAAGAAAGGAGTAATAAATCTTGACCAAATTCAAAACCTGCCAGAGTAAATATTAACTCTCAAGCCTGGAGAATAATCTTTGACTCCATGTCCCTCTTCCAGACACACTGGGCTGAAGGTTGAGTCCCCAAGTCCCTCGCCAAGCCACACCTCTAAGCCTTTCTGTTGTATCTCACACTTTCGAGTTAATATGTCTGTGGCTTTCACAGACTGGTGGTGCGTGCTGGTGTCCCTATAGTTCTGGGGCTAGGGAAACCTCATACTTAAGCCCACAGGACGCTTCTCTGTCGAGACTCAATGGTGGCCCAGCAGCTGTCAGAGATATCCTTTGGAATCCAGGTGGAAGTAATGCCCCACAGCTTTTGTACTCTATGCAACTACAAAATTAGTTCCACATGGATGCTGTTAAGGCCCAGCCCCTGCACCCTCTGGAGAAGTGATCTGAGCCACACCTAGGCTCACCTGAGCCCCCACGGGGCAGTCAAGGAGTGATGAACCAGAATGTAGGGGACAGAGACCAAATGTGTTTTCAGGCATGAAGTCCTGAGGTGCCATGGACTCCCTCTTTCTATCCTCTAGGCCAATGGTGGTGAACCTACAGGAATGTGTGCCACAGCAGGCTATTTATATTGTTGAAAGCTCTAAAAAGTCTTCGGTCACTGGCTAGGCCCTGGTACTGCAGGCCTGTGACAGAAATGGCAGGCTCAAAAATCTCTGAAATGTTTTGGGGGGGTCACTTTCCCATTGCCTTTGTTGAACATGAGCTCCAGACTCAATTTGTCAGTGCAGATAACAAAGGACTCAGACATCAAGAAATCTTGACAAGGCTTTTACCTTTGCAAAAGGACTCAAGCACGAGGTGGCAGGCTTTTAGTACAAAGGAAGGTTGCCCTTTTATTTCTAACGGGAAGAGTAGCTGACCTCTTTCCCATTGGCTGGTTTGGAGGTTCACACGCTGTCACGATTGGCTAACTCACATAGCACTAGGGGTTGCTGAAGGAAAGGGAGGACAGAGCAGAGGGGTGAAAGGTCAATGAGACCGTAACCCACGCAAAGATGATGGAGACACTCTGCCACAAAAAAATTTTATTTGGTGCAAAAGAAGGTCGTCTCGCGGACAGAGAGCAACGCCAAAGGGAGGGAGTCATTAGCTTATAAGCCTGAAAACCATGGGGGGGGGGGCATGCAGGCCAGAACAGCTGTCCAGGGAGGCACAGGCCCAATGGGTACATTTTGGGGTGGAGTTGTGAAATCTCAGTGGGCACTGTAGTTCTTGGGAAAGTACCCAGGTGTCTTTGTGGTCGGTGCTGCCAACCGTCTTTGTGGCTGTTTTTTGCTTTTCTGCTTCCGTGAAAGTTTGTGGGGTGGTTAAGCTACATCTCTAACAGGCTGCACCCTGTAAACCCCCTCCTCCCCTCACCCAGAAGCTCATTTCATTTCAGCCTTTTGTTATGAAGGATGGAGGGAGAGAGAGAGTGGTCTCCTAGGGGCAGGCAGAGTGGGAATTGGGTATCGGGGATGCAAGGGGAAAGCCTGGAGGCCCATATGAGGAAGAAAGGGAAACAGGTCGATGTTCCTCAAGGCTCCTTCAAGTGTGACAGTGGGGGTTGTGCAGGCAACCTAAGGTGAGCAAGCTGGGGACAGTTCTGGTGGGGCTGGTGGCACTGTGGGTGGCTTGGTGTTGGCAGCTTTATCCAGTGGGGTCACATCGCTATAGGATTCTTGTGTAATAGGGGTGTACTGAGTCATCAGGAGGAGCTTCCTGTTCGGCATGGAGTGAACCTGTCCTTGGGTGAAATCTGTTAGGCATCTTAGCAAACAGGGGTCAACCAGCAGCAGAAGCAGGACGGGGCTAAGGATGGGGAGAAGCTATGACCACCACCCAGACTGAAGGAAGCCTCTTCCCCGTCCCAGGGAACCATTACTCCTTGTTTGATTTCCTGAGCCTGGCAGCCTGGTCTTGGAGACATTGGACTGTCTGGTGAATGAAGCCTGATCTGTTGATATAGAAGCAGCACTCTTCCCCAAGAAAGGTGCAAGTGGACCCTTTTTCTACTGTGAGCAGGTTGAGGGCACTGTGGTTTCAGAGGGCTACTCCAGCAAGGGACTCCACCTCCTTTTGTAGGTCTATGACAGAGTCAGAGATTTTGTTGAGTCCTTCTGATATCTCTTCTAAGAGCTGTTGACGGACTGTGATTAACAAAGCTACTCCTGTCACAAGGCTACTCCTACACATGTGGAAATTCCCAAACCGAGTAGCAAGGGAATGAGGATTGGTGCCTGTGGGTGCCATCTGGTATGGGTTAGGATTGGGAGTCTTATCTCATTCACTGTATGTATTTTAGAGGCTGGGGATTTAGCTCAGCGGCACAAGCGCCTGCCTTGCAAGCAGGCAGTCGTGAGTTTGATCCCTGGTACCGATAAAAAAAGAAAAAGGAAAAAGACTGTATGTATTTTAGAAGTTAAGAATACCAGTGTGCAGGTTCCAGACCAATTAGCAGGGAGATAGAGATAGCTGGAGATTCCACAGAGTCAAGCTAGTCTTGAAGTATTTAATTATAGAGATATGACTGTTTGTCAAGGTGCTCGGAGATGTCTATGATAGGAGGTCTTGTTATGTGGTAGGCATCCCAGTTGGGGAGGGCTTGAAACCCAAGGAAGAGGTAGGAGCGATCTCCCTTAGAAGAGGTCAAGTGTAAAAAGTGGCATGGTCCTGAGGCAAATGTAGGGTATGGTGCAGTTACAGCTAGAGGTGGGTACGTGTCCCAGGGAACTGACTCCTAGAGAGAAGGCCTTCACGATACATGTATGTTATGGCTTTAAAAGAAAGCTGAACATTAGAGATTATTGGCCTTAGAATAGGACAGTGTGAAGAAGCTGTTTGGGCATAGGCAGAAGCTATGTCAGTGTGTCTGTGGTTTCGTTTTTAGCCTTTGCCTTCCAGATTTTTTACATTGTAGGTAGAGTGGCAAGAGTCCAAGTTGTGAGTGGGACAGGCATGACTTCATAGGCAGAAGTGGACATGGAGACAAAAGCCAACAGCTTTTAGCCAGGGAAGGACTGGATTGATTTAGCAGAGAATGGGCCAGTTTCAGGGTCCTAAAAAGGCATTTAGTGCAGTGAGTGAGGAGGGTGCCTCGGGTGAGGCTATAGGAGCAGGATTTTTAGTTAGGATGAGGCTGTAGGCAAGCAATAGGAGGCTGATATAGCCAGTAGTACCAGTCTGGGAAATGTCTGAGAGTGCACAGAGGAATGAGGATTGCTATCACAAAAAGAAGAAAGATGATGACCAAGACTTCAGCCAGTTTGGGTGACTCCAATGAGGGTGGCCACAAACAAAAGAGCTAGGGGTATGTAGGCCAGGAGGAGAGGAAGTGGAAATATATGGAGTTATCTAAGATATTGGATGAGGGGGCAGACTGGGGCTGAGGGCCCGGGCAAAGTGAGAGGTAAATTAGATTGTAGTCAGAAGACTAAGGTCTAGGAGATATGTGAAGGGCCAGAGGTCCTCTGCGTGGCAAAGGGCTAGAAGCATGGTAAAGAGGCAGACTTTGTCTAAGGACTGAAAGGGAGAGAGTTTCAGAGTAATGGGATGTTTTACTCAGGTGAGTATAGATTTAGGGCTGTCTACTGAGGGATGAGGGAAAAGGAGAGTTTCTGTCCAGGGAGGAAGAGGTCTCAGAGGATGAGACTGAGGGAAGTGGGTGAGAGCTTGTCTTAGTGCACTGGTGAAGTGACAGATAGAGCAGGGCATTTATTCCTCAGGGATGCGGATGAGGTGAAGTCGCATTGGGGAGAGCCAGGTAGAGGAGCAGGGAGACCTATATTGAGGCTGTTTACTCGTGGGAGGGGACTTTGTTACTTTGGAGAGATGTATCTAGGCAGATTTGTCTAAAAGCTTGGCTGCTGTAGGGGTACTCAACACCACAGTGTGTGGCTCAGTCTATTTGGGCTTTAATGGCAATAGGGTGAGGTCTCAGATCCACATTTGGTCTACTGGTTGGACCTGTAGGGAGACTGGGGAGTCAGTTGGTTGGGGCAGGTAACTGTGTGGACCTCACAGGAGGCTTCATAAAAGAGAAAGGAAGGGGAGGTGTCTTTGGGAGCCTGGATATGGTGCCATCAATTCCCACAACAGAGATGCCCATTAAAAAAGCAGCTGTCCTGGGGCTGGGGATTTAGCTCAGTGGCATAAGCGCCTGCCTTGCAAGCAGGCAGTTGTGAGTTTGATCCCCGGTACTGATAAAAAGGAAAAAGACAAAAACAAAACAAAAAGCAGCTGTCCTGAGAAAGGGAAGAATGGAATGGGGTACCTACATGTCAAGCAAGAATAAAACAGCCTTACCTTCCACCAAGAGAGTTATCCAAAGTCTGGTAGCTTTGTTGATCTAAGAGACATCCAAGATTGTCAGGACATGTCAGTCATTTTCAGATCAAAGAAGACAGGAGTGTTCAGTGGGGCACCCTGGAAAGGGACTCCTGCAGTAAACCTGGCTGCCAAGGGACAGTCTGGCTTCCAGGGAAGGCTCCCACACATGGGACATGGCTGGGAAGAGTGTCTGTGGTTAGGGGACTTATTGGTCCAGTGGCCTGACTGTTGACACCTGAAGCAGAGTCCAGGGAGATAGTTTCCCCTTTTGTTCCCCTGGATCAGTTCGGGTTTCTAATGATGGAAGCAAGCAAATAACTGTATATCAAAGATATA